TCAACCATGTCGATTATGTCTAATATGTCACATATGTCAGACATGTCGGAAATGTTACAAATGTCACTTTGGTCGATCGTCTGTGCCACATACGCTGCGTCACGTTCACCCGTCTACAATATTATGAAAAGTCGATATTCCTTTCGACTGTGAAAACAATAAGCTGAAGATGCTTGATAACGCATTTGATACAATTAATATTAAAAAAGATCTTGCAGGAGAGGGAATATTACCAGGAAATGAAATTTCAAAATATTTAAAAAACTTACCACCATCATCAATTCACATCATTGTAAAACCACCATCGCCTGCTACCATTGGTAAGTGTCTCCCAATGGTTTACCTCTTAAATAAGAAATTCGTGTTATCTCACATCTTATATTTTTTATTCAATCAGAAAAAGGAAAGTGATCGCTGGTAGATTCGGACGAAGGTCAAAATAGTAAAAAAGCGAAATTTGCAGGTGTGTAATTTTTTGGGTTCAACTAAGACTAAATATCATTATTTTAACATGTAAGATTATTTTATAGATCTAAATATAATTTCTATTGCCCATAAAATCATAGAAGGCATAATGAAACTTGACGAGAATGAATCTACTTACTCAAATCCTAAAAATTTTCTCTCGTTATTATATCCATACCTTAGCGAAAAATTACCAATAGATAGATTTGCTATTGACAATAATCGTTATTTCAACTTTATGGGACGAAAGGAATTCAGAAACGTTTTAGAAACCATAAACAAACTTCGATCTGGTACTGGATATATGAAATTATTTGTTTATGGTACTGTCAGATATGGCAAGTCACATATCCTTTTAGCAATTGCATAATTCCTTTTCTGAATAGGAAGACGTGTTGTATTTCTTCCCAATTGTCACTAACTGGCAGTGGACCCAGTAGATTATACCAAGTCTGTCTTATTTCTTGCCTATCATGATAATGATGCAAAAATAAACGAAATTAATTCCTGTGAAAATTTTGAAAATATCGTAGATTTTTGTAAAAAATTACAATTCAAAGAAAAGTTATATTTCATCATCGACCAAATGAATGCTCTAGATGAACTTGATAATACTGGGGTTAGCTTAGAAATTAAATAACAAATTAGACGTGATATTGATAAAATGAGCAATTACCATTATTATATAATGAGTTCTTCAGCTAACAATAAGACAATGCTACATCTTATGCAAAAGCAAACTGGTGAATTGAAGATCAAGCTTTATGGAAGGTTTAATGAGGTAAGACTAAGATACTTTATGTTGTGAATTTTTTATATATTAACATAATGTTTATTTAGGAGGAGATGGAAGAATGGTAGAAAAAGTATAGTTTACCAGCAATGAGTGATCAGGAGAAGGAACGAATCAAAGACATCATGGGCAAAATTCTACTATTCTTAAACTTTTTGTTAGAATATAGTCACGAAAATTTTGAAGGTGCATTTGCATATCTAAAACAAAAATTAAAGTCAATAATATAAAAGCTGATGACAGAATATTCGGAAAATCTACTAGGCAATAAACATACATGGAATCGGTAAATATATTTTTGGTTTGTTTTGTGAACTATATGATCTATACGATGCTGACTTTCTTTGTTTTCATAGTTATGTTAGATTAATGTTGTGATTCATTACAAATACACATCCTAAACTGGGCTATAGAGATGATGATTATGATCATCGTTACTTTTACATCAAAGATGACGATATCTGTTATTATGTCTGTGGTCTTGTACGAGATTCCATGGCTGAATATCTCTTTGAAAAAAGAGAAATGGAAATATTCACAGATATAAAATGGATCAGTCGCATAGCGGATTTCAAAAACAACCCATCGGTTAAGGAATATTTATTAAAAAGGCATATATTACTAGTATTTTTAGGAATGGATTAATGGTGAACTGTGTAAATTTTAAGCCTGGTGGTATGGAATTTTTTTATAACGAAAAAGAAATTAAGTTTTCTTCAAATGAAGAGAAATGTATGTTTTACTTACCATGCTGTTAGAATCAAGAGACCATCGATGGATTACTGATCTCACAAACAGGATAAATTGTACGTTGCCCTAGTACAGATTACTCTTAATAAGGATAACCATTCAGATTCTGAGAGAAAGTTTTTCTCCAGTATCTGGCCAAATTTAAAATCAAACTTATCAAGTTTTGAGAATAAATTGGAAATAATGTTCATATGGATTACACACAGAAGTGAGACAGATGAGTCAGTGGAATATATAACTAAAGAAACGTGGAATAAAAATCATGAAATTAATCCCAATTATACTCAGGTAGTAATTGGATTTGGGAATGTCAATAGTGATATTAATAGATATTTACCTAATATTATAATCACAAACAATAACCATATCCAGTTTTAAATCGTTAAATTGAAAAAACAAACTGCGAATCTGACAAAGAGACTAAAGAACAAAAAAACGCTCAAAGGAGAAGGGGAAGGCCCAAAAAAAGTTTGTAAATGTAAAATGAAATATGGACGAAAGGAAGGGAATCAAAAAGGACATAGCTAAATATTTTGAAAACAATATATACATAATAGAATAACTAAAGATAATAAAAGTTTTATTTCACGTTGAAAAAATCTTTAATTTTTTTCATTATTTATGATAAGCTAAAAAAACAAATGTAATAAAATGAACAAAGTAGCGAGTTTAAAGGGAGGAAGTATCTCGAGTCCTAACTCATAAAATGAGAGTTCCTTTCTGCTACTCTAATGCCAATTTTTCACCTAATTTACTATACTTTTATAATTTCTGAATAATTAACTAATTTCCACCAACATATTCCATTTCTGTATCTATGCTAAAATTTTCACAATGTTTATCTATTAACATAAATCATTTAAAAGGGTTTTGATTTTAACCAATTACCGCTCGTGTATTTGAGATGATTTAATTTCAGATCTATTAGATATTCTGGAGCAACAATTACCGGTTGATGAATATGTTACTGTACATATAAATCAACTAAAAAAAAATCACTATACATTATTCACAAATCCATTCTTCATCCGGCTAGAGAACACAAAACCAGGTAATTTTTAACGAGATTTATTTTAAAGGATCTTTCTGAAAAAGCCTGTAAAATAGAAAGGAATATACGTTTTTATGCATATTAAGAAGGGACACGTTATCACCGTAGAATTCTTCAACTCAAGGTGGTCACGTTATCAAGTCTCTACTCGAAATTTCTTAACTACGGCTTACTGCGGTCAAGACGTTAGGATCCGCCTAACTCTTAACTTTACTAAATCTACACGTTGAACTTAAACAAATCTATCAAGTATGAAGACTTGAAAGACGAGACTACAAATACTTTTAATTAAAGAATTCCGAAAGACGAACTCAATTACAAATAATGTGTAGGGATCACGTCAGACTATATGAAGACACGAAGAGGCAGAAAGATATAGGT